TTCTTTGGAATTGTTCTAAAAATAACAATTTTCAAGAAATATTAGGACACGTTTCTTAAAAAGAGTAACTGTAACACAAAAAAACAAGTCACTGAAAATGACACAGTCCCCGTTAAATTAAGTTCTCTTTGTGCTCATCATATTAAAGCGGAGGGGTTGTCGCGAGCGCGTCCTTGAAACTTGAGTTTCAAGTGGCGTATACAACAGATTGTTTATTTACATCAAAACACGTGTTCCGTGTAGTAGTAATATGGCCAAAAATAAAAACAGCTGTTATTCGGCCATCTTTGATCTGATTATGAAACACACTGATATGTATGATGTACGTGCCATATACAAATGAAAATGGTACATAAATTGTGGAAATATAGTAGTAAGGCCAAAAAGTCAGATGGCTGTCAATCGGCTATCCTTAACCAGATTTTGAAACAAATTGTCATGGACATGCATCCTAACATGTATAAGTACATGTATGTGCCAAATTTTAATGAAAACTGACAGAGCATGTCAGATACCGCATAAAAAAAAAAAATGCCTGCCAGTCGACCGTCTTTGATCCAATTGTGAAATAAATCGTCATGGACATGTATTCTAACATATAAAATCTATGTACCAAGTTTGAATGACAACTGACAAAGCATGTCCAAAATACAACATTTTCAAAAAACAAGATGGCTGTCAGTTGGCCATTTTGAATCAAATTGCTAAACCACAGAATGTGCACATGTCCCACATGCAAAGAATGAACGGAATCGGTCCACAGGATTCTGAAATATGACTCTGGACAGACTGAGGGACGGACGAACACACAGACGAACGGACTCAGGAACTCACGGACAGTCGGGGACATGTATCCTAACATGTATGATCTATGTACTAAATTTGAATGAAAACTGACAAAGCATGTTCAAAATACGACATTTTCAAAAAACAAGATGGCTGCCAGTCGGCCATCTTTGATCCAATTGTGAAATAAATCATCATTGACATGTATCCTAACATGTGTAATCTATGTACCAAGTTTGAATGAAAACTGACAAAGCATGTCCAAAATACAACATTTTCAAAAAACAAGATGGCTGCCAGTCGGCCATTTTGAATGGAATCACTAAACCACTGCATGTGCATACGTCTCACATAAAGTACTTGGCACATGCAAAGAATGAACGGAATCGGTCCAAGGAATTCTGGGATACGACTCCGGGTGGACGCACAGACGGACGGAGACCGAATTATAAGTCCCTGTTTTCGGACTTCGTCCGAACGGGGACTAATAATACTATTTTATTGTACCACGAGACAACAGCTCCATGAATTTACGTAATAGACCAATGAACATTGTCATGTGATTTATGACCAATTTTCTCAAAAATTATGAGTAGGCTTCTTTCTACCTCAAGGGAACAAATGCCAAAAAAATGATTTCCATCTGCAGTGGCTCACTCATGAACCCATAGATTTTCAATCTTCAAAACTCAATCAGACGCACAATGCAATTGCCATCTGTATTTTTTTCAAATTACCAGTAAGTCGATTAAGACAATTATACATATATCAATATTGCTGCTAACAAGAAACTACACGAATAAACACCGCAATGTCAAAATACACTGGCAAATTTGTGCCACCACCATGGGCCCATTTTTATTATACCACGGTTGCAAGTAGAACATTTCAGTGCTTACAATCATGGTGAATCTGTTTAATAATATTGAACACAGATTGGCAATGAAGTCATTATCATTTATCAATTTCCTTCTTCTAATAAATATTTACCCTCGGTCATGAAAAATTGGATTGATTCGGTGACCAAGTAACAAAGAAACATATGCATGCTTCAATAAAGCCAGTCATTGTAATCACACACTATCTGTGAATTCTGAAAGTAGTTTATAAATTAATAAACGCTGCTGGGATTGATAAATGTGATATATAGAAGATAATATTTGGTAATTAGTCCTAAGTTTAATAGTTACTTAGGACGATTACTGAATGTTATCTTCTATATATCTGTAAATTCTGATATCCACTCAACTCTACAATACATATTATTACATTGAATGTTCATTACAACAGTTGTCAACATAATTAATAAAGTTCATAATATTATTATTTGCCCATTGTTTTTTACATATTCCAGTGTGAAAGTTTTGTAGAAATGTTCTGAATGTGCAATTGAAGCAGCAATGTTATTTACGTCCCTGGTTGAAAACAAGACATGGAATTTCTTTGTCTGTTTTGCTTTCAACAAGTGTATCAAAAGCTGGCATTTGTGAATAAATGCATGTACACCATGCACAATAACAGCAAGACTGTTGAACTATTCCTAGAGTAACTCATCAATGCAATACTGTAAAGGGGGTAATTATTCACTGGGTTTTAATTTAGCTTATTGCGCTGACTGGAAAATGCGCTAAATTAAAACACAGTGAATATGTAAAATTTAGCATAGAACACATTATCTAAATGATAAAACCGTGAATTTAAAAACCCACTGAATATGCCTGAAATGGTAAATCAGTGAAATTTAAACCCAGTGAAAATTAGTCATTTTACAGTATATCTACCGGTATGTATAATCTAATGAAAATACATAAAGACCAATTGAAACTTGGAATTTAGTGTTATAAATAAAGGTACTCTACAAAACCATATGACTATATTGTTGGCAATCATTGATAGACACCACACCATATCACTAAGGCTGTTGTCATGGCGATGCTATTGTGTACGAATAATCAGATGCTCACTTTGCTATCTCATCCTGTGCTTCTTTCACGGCAAGTTTACTGGTTTTCAGATCATCTTCAACAAAGCGCAGATGCTGCAAGCCCTTTACTTCACTCTTTAGTTGATCAATTTTGCAATCTATTGAGAAAAAAAAAGAAAGAATTACAATTATATAAATTTAGACAGTTTCAAATGACAAATGCAAAAAAATATTCATCCAATGTTTTGAGTGTTTGGTATAACTGAGTAAAACCTCAGATAGTTATGTATCATTTTTGTTTAAGTGCATCATTTCTGATGAATCATTGCGATTTTATTCAGCAAATTTTAGCAAAGTTGAATTAAGAGCATAAAATAAGTACACTATAAAATGATTGATTTTATGGCAGTCAAAAAATATTTGCCAGAAATGGGGATGGATGATCTAAGGAAGCAGTTAAAGTAATGTAGCTTTCATGGTACACTTCAGCCTCGTTATAACGAACTCTTTGAGAGACATACAATTAGTTTATTATAGTGAAATATTCACTATAATGAAGCACATAATACATTGGGTTTGTTGTGAGCGGGAGACACGGTATGTGTTCATTATATCAGGAAATTCATTATAACTGTTCATTATATTGAGGTTACAGTGTATTCGAAAAATATATATTTCAGAAGACGCAAAGTTCCGAGTCAATTGAAGATTATGATAGGAGTTCATGTTATTTATGTTCATTCAGACAGAGGTACAAAATAAAAGTGGAACTGTCAACAGTGTTAGTCATTATTTCGCCATGGAATGGAGAAGTTAATTTCACATGTACAATTTTTTGACATATGGAGTATGGCATACAAGGTAATTTTTAGGAAAAAAAAACAAAAAATATTTTTTTCAAAGTAAACTTTGTTGTAAAGATTTAACGCCCTTTACAACATCGTTAAATTAAAACACATCAACATAAAACAGTTTAGATTTACATATTTGCACTGTATGAATAGGCGAGTGATGTACTGAAGAGATATGGTCAACAATTATATACATGTACAATTCTACCTTTCTCTATCAAGTACTTTTTATTTTCTTCTAATTCCTGTTCTCTTTCTTGACGCAAGAACATCTCAGTCCTCAAATCTCTTGTCAACTTCTCCATTTGTTTTTTGTTCTCACGAAGGGCAATCTGCAACAACATAATACTTGATAATAAAGCCAATCAAGATTAATTTATTCAACCATTCAATTACTATTTATCCCTATATATTCAGCAAGCTTATCTCAAAGGGATATATGCAATTCAACACCCACCTTTATTGTATTTCCATTGCTACAGACGATGACAACTACAGATGATTGGGCATACAATTTGATCTATGTATTTTATAGACGTCAAATACATAGCATCTCATTAGAATCACACAAAGGTTTGTAAGAAAGCATGTTTAAATAGAGTTTATAAAACCGTGTAATTTGGACGGTTGCATTTTTCAAGCAACATTTTAAAAATCTATGTGAACCCACAAGCCAAAACCCCAGGGGGGAAATTCAGCACATTGGTGATTAGCCTCATAACTTCACAACTCATCACTATACCAATATCATTTAGACTAAATACTTTCATAGGTTGACGTTGGCAGACATAAGTGATTACCATCAGGGACATACGCAAGGATTGATGCTATTCTGGGAGTAATTATGATTGTCTGCTGACGCCAGTCTACACGAAAATATTTAGGCATATACACTGTATAGATATCACATGCATATTTCCTCAGTCCAAATAAATAAAATTACAATGAATGCAAATATACTGTACGAACCAGTTGTGCACGTTTTGTGCCATTGCTATTTGTTCATGATATTCGTTCCAAATCACTATTATTTTCAACCGAGCTGTATTGTGGTGGAAAAACATCCTAGCTCACTCACCTTTGTGCCAACTTGAGGAGAATTTAAAAACTGCTTAGTTGGCGAATTGCTGTAGTATTGCTGTGTGGCAGCACAACGAGTAACCAACCTAAATGGCGGCGGCAGCGGCTGCTGCTGCTGCTGTTGCAAGTCCACAGCTACACTATCTATTAAACAGAACACAATTAAATTACAATGTTATCTGCATTACATCATTACAATAGAAGTTTGGATAAGACAAAATTAGTGTAGATTTCAACCAACACACTATTTTCGGCAATAATCAAAGATCAATTACTCTAGTTTGAAGTATACATTATAAATAAAGGAACATGTATCATATCTATTTACAACAAGTTTTAGAAGTATTGTTGCAGCAATTTAGCAAACTTGCTCACTATTCGCTGTAAACTTTGGTTTTGACAACGCAGATTTGACCACCACAAACAATTTTGCATACGTTTCAGTCCCAGAAAACCTCAGCTTAGTTAAAATACTATTTTTTTTTTAGATATATTCCTAGCATTTAGTGATGACAGATTGAATGGTAATACATGTATTCAAATTGTAGATCAACTGCTTTAAGTCAAAACCAAAATGGTTGGTGAATTAGTGATCAAGTTAGCCCAATAAATTTTCTTTAAAGAAACATCTCCAACAAAAGCACACATGAATCTCACTGTGAAGATCATTTACATAAACACATGAATTATTGATGGAGGAAATGCAGTAAATTAGGGTCTTACAGAATATTTATTTTTTTCAGCGAGTTGGGCTCACTCCATTATGGCCAATTTGGTCCAAAATGTTGGGCACATATGTACATAATATATTTACAAGGCCAGAACCCTTTCTAAACTTGTGTTTATCTCTTTGCATGTTGATCAACCAGTCTGTTGAAACTTGCATTATTGATATTTGTTCACGCTAAAATAAAATTTTCGGACAGGCACTTTCGCAGGTTTGACACTATGTGGTGTCAATTTCTGACATTATGGAACCTACATGTCTGCACAAATGGTGAAAAGGACAACCTCAACAAATGTTCTAAAATTGAAACTGTGCAATAAATCAATAGGTATACATACCGCTTGTATGAGGTGATGGAGTGTTAGCAAACGTCAGTTTCATCCCTACAAACAAACTAGTGTCCAGTCCATTACTAGATGCTGCAAAATTAAAACAGCACACAATGCGTATTACACAATCATATTCATAGAGATGTGGACAAATAATTATATATATCGGTACTAGTACATGGAGATAGTAGGCAAAAATATACAATACTCTGATTTGTCAATGCTGCATTTATGTACACAGAAACAAAACGGAGCGAACAATATGTGAAAATTATGAAAACAAGCAAAATTTATGGTTTTCAGTGAAAATAAAGTAGTGCACAGTACATGTATAGACTACAAACTCTTCTTTCTATCAATATTTCAACTGATCAAATCAAAAGGAACCAATTTGCCAAGAGGAAAATATACATCAGTGAGTTGAAGGCTGATATTGATATATAGGGTGTGTAATTGCATTAATACCTAGAAAACTAATCAACACTCATTGTACACTGGTAAGTATTACTACAATATATCCAATCAAGTACCTTCTTAACCCCAGCAAGAAATTACCAGACATTAATTAGAGTATGAAATTTTGCAAAATTGCATACCAGACACCAAGGCAGGTTTAAAAGATTAATATACTTCTATACACCACAAAAACATTCTGCATACCACATTTTATATTATTGCATTTTTTGTTTCACAAAGGAGAATGGCATAAAGCATTTTATATTATTGCATTTTTTGTTTCACAAAGGAGAATGGCATAAAGCATTTTATATTATTGCATTTTTTGTTTCACAAAGGAGAATGGCATAAAGCATTTTAAAACTATACTTGCAGCTGTCCATAAAATATTGCAAGACAACAGGGAATGTCATGTTTTAACTTTTACAGCCCAACCGTAAAGTTACTGTCTCAGGCATACTAAGGCAGTAATTTGAAACCTGTCCTACACTCAACATATTGTATCTCTAATAAAAGTGTATATATAAACCTAAAATCACACTGGCTGTGAACTAAATCATTAAAATAATACTTAATTTGATCATAGAAATGTATGTAAAAAATTAGGTATGTGCTTTGAATATAGCCAATATGGTACCTTCATCATGGCAAGGGAGATCCAACACATCTGCAAAGTCAGGTCTTAATCCAGTGGCAGGCGATTCAACAAGTATAAATTCAATGATGTGTTTCATATTCATCTGGGACTCTTCATCTAAACCTAGAATAACTTGAACAAACTCTCCTTTCTTCTCACATTCCACCGATTGACAAACCAACAACGCACAAACTTTACCAATCTCCCTCTCAGCCTGCTCAAAAAAGATGCGAGACCAACTAATCTGTGGTTTCTGGTCACTATAGCAACCTGGAAAACAAATTCACATTCTGAGCATAAATGCCCCTGAAATAGAAACAAATTTTCGGAAACGCATACACTATCGTAGTACAATTTAGATAACATGGTAGACCTAAAATATAAAGTTGAAATACGTAATGCTCATTGGAGTCGGGCAGTAACAAAATGATTGGTTGTTCATAAGACTAAATATTGACGTAATTTGACCAATGCATTATATACAAGCATTGCAAGATATGTACATACGCGTGTTGTACAAACATTATATAGAATGCGGTGTGATATTCCATCAAGTTTAGAAAATGCAATATTTATGAAAACACACATCTTTCATACATAATTATCCTAATTTCAAACAGTTGAAATATTACATTCCACAATAATAAACAGTCCAAACATACAATCAACATTAGTACAATTGAGTTGTTTCACAGGCAAGGAAACTACTTGTTCTTAAGGTGTTACAACTGTTGATTATTACTCAGTCATGATAATAATAACATACATTGTACAAAAAATTAATTTTTTTGGATTGTTATGAAATGAAAGTATAAATTAACATTCAGACAAACACTTAATGCAAAACAATATCCACCATGTTTCTTTTATACACTGACCTGATAGAATAAGCCACTTATTTCAGAATATCAACAATAGCAAATGCAAAAGTTTTATCGATATTGAAATTAAGTTTTTGGCATTCATATTGGTTGAAAAAAAAGGTATAATTATTTCACCGTGACAACAGCTAATTCTCAAACAGTCATTCACCATATACAATTAGCATCATACTCTTAAATAGTAATTTCCGAAAGAAAAAAATTTGATGCATAAATTAGAATACTTGTGATAATACGAGGTTATTATTATGTGTGGGGTCCAGTCAAACCCTGGGGGCAGCCATGTTTTTTTTTATTGTTTTATTCCATATTTAGAATTTGTGTTTCTTAATATGGTAGAATGAAACTGTACGCTGTGACTTATGTCGTTACGGTGACAGATGTATAATAATTTTCAATTAATATTGTTGTTTAATACTATTGTGAATAAATTTATTGGATTATGATTTCATCAAACCTAAAATGAAATAATGATGTTTACTTGCCTCGCAGATAGCTTAATACCAACTTGAGTCTTTCTTTGGGATCTTCATGGTCTTCAATTTCCCCATCACTAAATATTCATCATCAAGTACAAGAAAAATCAATCATGTAAAAAACTATGTCAAATAACTTTGTAGGCCTGTTTACCCCAGTTTTTAACAGGTTGAACATGTAGACACAATTGTAACCACCCACCCCGCCCATCCTGCTATTCATAGCTCAGTAAACCTTTTATAACAATTACTGACTAAAAAGTAAAAAGGTGAAAAACAATGGAAATATAACATGATATTGTGTATTCACAAACTATTACTTTAGTGCCTAAGCTTACATACAATTGTGTTGTATTATACATATGCAGGTTACGGACACTTATGCAATTATGTGACTTTGCTAATTAGTGGAAATGTGTATACTCACATTCTTCTCGTTACCTCCAGGAGAAAACTGCCATCCCAAAGTTGCTCCAATCTCTCAATGGCATTATTGTTAAGTGCATTAACCTGAAAATATTTTAAATAATGCATGCTAGTATAATGGAATACATGCAGTGATACAGTGAAACTACCAATCAACATGTACATGTATAAACACATTAATGATTACAATGTAAAAATCACTAACATGAATTTCACATAACATGTGTGTATGCAGATAGGTCAATGATCTTGGTGTGGTAAAATGATACAAAGTATGTTTGCTAACCACATACATGTAAGTTTTAAACACAAACTTATTTGCATTGATTAGTTCTAAATTTTAGAAGGAATATGAAAATAACTGTCACAAAGTATTGGATATAGCACATCACCTACTGACATGCTATCAGTGAATGCTTTCAAACGATAGGAATGTTTTATTAGGATTTATTTAGTCAGGTCTTGAATGAATAATACAAATGTAAACATGTATTACATGATGTGTAAAAATAAATTTGAACATGTCTGCCCAAGCATGTCATTTCTCTAAATCAATGGGACTACCGGTATGACCATGGATAAAAATCCCGCAAAAATGAACTATCTCGGTATACTGTATAGCTTTTGATCAATTTGCAACACACGTTCATGATTTTTATCGCATTGGCGTCACCCATTAATAATGCTCATATGGCCAACGAATTGTAAACTGGTTAATTTTATTTGTATTGATCATTTTTTGAAAAACATGGGCGATCATAGAAGTCAGGTGACAGTATTGGTGTTTTTGATTGAAACTACAGTGGTTAAAATGTGTGAAGCTAATATGCAACGCATGATTGATATGCTATTAAATATGCAATCTGAAAGTGATCAAAATGAAACACAAAAGCAATAAATACGAGTCCAGTGCAATATACATGTACATTGTATGTCACTGTTGTCACACCAAATAAAAATAATGCCAGATTAAATAATAAACTTATCTATGTGTAAATAATTAGCTAGTGGCTAATAACATGACTATTTTGTTTAAAAATAAAATAAAAATTGACTAATTTACATTTAAAAAAAATCGAGATTGACCCAAACTAGGTAGATACAAGTACTGTAGAATACTTTATTTTCGCTTTATTTTTGCTATTTTCCCTGAAGGGGTGATGCCTTGAAAATAAAATCCAGCGAATATACTTTTTTTCCTATATTTCACATTAAACTTATCAAAAATCAGTGAAAATAAATTCCATACAAAACGCCCAAAAAGCCTTTTCGACAAAAATTAATTCCAACAAAAATAAATTATTCCACAGTAGGTACTTATTTTCTAGGCCAAAGTTATTAAACAAAAAAAAAACCATAATGGAAATGTACACTAATTGCGACAGTGATTTCTTATATAACCAAACATAATCTTACCCAGTTAATGAGAGCTTTCTTTTTACTTGAATCCATATCTTATATGCAAATCAAGAAATCTGTAAATACAGGTAACTGTAAAAATAAAGAATTATTTAAAATTAATGGAATTACCGGTAGCAAATAAAAAATAAATCTGACAAAGTGCATGTAACGCCTCATATAACACCTGTTCACTATATTCCATTATGTGTATTGCTGCCCTAATAATATACATTTGAAAAGTATCACGATTCAGACTAGAGAAACTTGGCAAGATATACACTGAATAGGTTGTTGACCGTTAATAAACTGACTACCGATTTTACACATAGGGAGTATCATATTTGTGTGTAAACTAAAAATATATTAACATACTATATGCCTGTCAGTTATGCAAAATGATCAGTTAATTATGCAAAATAAATAAATGACAATTGCAAAGGTGACATTTGCAACTCAACAAGTTTTTCTACATTTATGATAAAATTATTTGTTGATGTGATTTTATAAACTGCCTCAAAGTAATTTAATTAGCCAGTCTAGTTGGAATATGAACTAAAATTATGGTTGTGAATAACAAATCTTGCATATGCACCGCTGCAGTGTTTTTGGCTACTACATTGTATAAACATTTAAAGTGGCCGCCTTTTTGTAACTGGTTAAAAGACAAGCCACCTCTCTGTTAAGGATGATTTTTTGTTAACATATCTTGTGTTTTATGGTGTTTCTATAAACAGGCTTGATTGATGTATAATGCGAACAACTGCACAAAAAAATAAGGTAGAGCTCCAGAAGGAGTACCTACACTTTATGCAAATTTTTTTTAAATTATGCTAATTTATTCATGACATAGCAGTTTCTGTGCTCATGAATATTCATTAATTTGTGGGTCAATACATTTTAAAAGGGGCGATATATTATTTGGGGGGGAAGAGTTAGAAAGGGGGATTAGCAATCCTTAGGGGGTCAATACAAAAGAAGGGATCCATTTGGAGAGCAGCCATGCTCCTCGTGTCTGTTGTTGCACGTGCTGTCAACTGTGTTCGTTCTTCGACTGTGTTCGTTCTTCAATGACTTTGACTGGCTTCCATGTGGGGTAGTATTCTTGTGTTTGTTTTCCTGACTTGAGTTTTTGAATCCGCTGTTATGGAATTTAACGTCTTTCGTGTCTTTTGTAGAAGTGTCCAATCCGTGATTCGAACTTGCGATCTTTGAGTACCCAGCGCACTGTCTTGTCCACTGTACCACGAGTTTCTTCACACAGGAGTTAGGATTTAAGTCCTATTCATAGGAGCACTGTCTTCACTAGCATTCAAAAATCTAACTAAACATACTGGATTCGAACCAGCAATCGCTCACATTGCTGACATAGTACAAATCAACTGAGCTATGTGGATAGTCATGAAAATTAAATAATGTGTTGTCATATTTAGCTTTATTGCCAAATGATGTTTGCGAGAAAAAAATGGGCAGGCAAGGGAATTGAACCCAGGTCCTCCTGATCACTATGTAGAGAACTGACCCACAAGACCACAATGGGTTGACTGGATATGATTGCATTTGATAAGACTATATAGTGTGTATATATATATAGAAATACAACATATTTCTATTATTGAGTTACAATTGTCCAAAAAATTGCCAATTTTGTGTTTTTACGTTCCTGTTAATAATTCCGTTGCCCATACCTGACCCGACCCTAACCCTAATGCCAAGACACGTTCCTGTTTATAATTGCTCAATAATGATACTCTGTTGTGCACTGTCTGCAGGTAAGTTGCATTGATGTCAACTGATTAAACAAGTCGCGTTTAAGTAATTTCCACTATTAACAAGTGGTTAAATTGTGACAATAAATGTGTGGACAAATATTTGAGATTAATTTTGGTGTAGACAGCTCTTGTTTAATTGTTTTACACCATTACAAGTTGTTAAATTGAGAGAATAAATGTGCTTACAAATATTTTAGACTTATTTTGGTGTAGATAGCTCTCGTTTAATTATTTTACACCATTACAAGTTGTTAAATTGAGAGAATAAATGTATGGACTAATATTTGAGACTTATTTTGGTGTAAACAACTCGCGTT